TAATCGACCGCACGTATTTTCGTCTGCGCATGTGCAGTGTAAATCGTACGAATTTTGACGTTCGGAAACGCCACCAACCTTGCGAAAATCGTACCATCGACCGAAGTTTTCTAACCTGCTGGTTAGCCAAAAGTCGATCGATCGTACAGTATTTGCGGTTGTACACCGCCCATCAACTGTACGAATATCGGACGAAAACGCGATCGCAGCCTTAGACAGCTGTGAACACAGCAGCTGTGCAGTTGGAACCTCGGGTCATGTGAGCCCTGGTTAGGGCAAGATCTGTTTGGGCAGAGCCGCTGACTGGCTGGTTGTGCCTGCATGCCACCCTTTGTCCCACCACCAAAACTATGTTAGGGGGAGCCCAGAGGCTGCGACTGGCAAGCGACATCTTGTCTTTGGCCTGAAGGTCCTTGTGGTAAATGAGGGTTTGCTGTCCACACTCCGCTATAACTATTGTCAAAGTTCTCTCTCAACACCGGGATCTTCTAATTAAAGTGCCAGGCGTGCCACTCACACTACTGCCAGCTGCCTTGGATGTCATTGGTATGCTGACGTTAATGGTGACCGGGATCAAAGTTCTGCTCTTCATCACCGGCATAGTCAGCGTTTGTTGCCATACATGAGCGGTGAACTGCAATCCTCGTCCAGAAAGCAATGCGATTCACAGATTTCACCTCTCAGGGGGTGTACGCTGGATTTGTACATCATTTTCTTTCTTTCTTTATTATGTTCAGGACTAATAACTTAAAAAAATGTTTTTGTACTTTTTGTTTGAGTTAAATCCATCAGAAATATTGCTTCTTGATAATTTGCACTTCCCACCCGTCTTTAGGTTCCCCTTTAGAAATGTCAGGGCTCTCAGCTTGTTTTTTTCATGTAAACAGCCGGCTGCTTACAGAACTCAATAGCTCAAGCTAAGATTTACACATATTACCCACCGCCTGGCCTCCTGATTGGCTGGGAAGCCGGCTCCCTGTTGTTTGGCTCACATGCTGACTGGCGGGGAGGCCAATCAGCATCGAGCCGGCCAAACAGCAGGAAGCTGGGCGGCAAGTCATTACCTGCCGCCCGGCTTCCTGATTGGCCGGGAAGCTGGCTCCATGTTCCCTCGTGGCACTGCCAGCCGGAGGAAATCTCCCTCTGATGGGAAGTTGCAGTATTGGGGAAGGTATCAGAGCATTTGGGCGAGTACAAGTACTCGCCCAAATACTCGGTATAAGCACCAATACCGATACTAGTGTCGCTATCGGTGCATCCCTACCGGAGACCATTATCATTTCTGTGCTCGCCTGGCTGGAACAGAGAGCAGGGGAAATATTATGGGGTCTATTTATAAATAGGGTGAAGGGCTCTGTGAATATCTGTGAATGTTCATTCTGTGCAAATATATGCCAAAACAAAGGTTGTTTAGTTGTTTATTTACTTCCTTACCATCTTGTTTTGTATGGTAACTGTAATGTCTTCCTTATAATCCTAACTTCTGTAACTGTAATGTCTTCCTTATAATACTAATAATAATACAAGGGAACATATTTTTTAAATGTAATATCACATTATGGCCACTATATGGCGCTCAGGAGCCAATAAAATACATACTTATTTCCTATGCTCCTTTACCTCCATCTAGTGGCCATAATGTGATATCACATGAAAACATTTGAAAATTCATTCCACGTGTAAAAAAAATAAATTCCTAAAGTAGGTTCGTTTGGCATCTATTCGCACCGAATACACATTCACAGATATTCGCAGGGATTTTTTTTTTTACAAATAGACTCCTATCCGTCCAGCAGACCACCGATGTCCCCCGATGTGCGAAGAGAACCTGCGCTATGCTATCATGATAGCAAAAAGGTTAAAGCTGAACTCCAGGTATAAATAACTATACATTCTTATATAAGTCCAGCTTGGCCCAGTGGAAATATACATATGCCAGTAATCCAGTAAAGCACTGTAGTAGCCAGGGAAGCTGCTCAGCACAGCGCCATACAGGACCCGAAAGATCGCTGTCAGCATTGTAGTAGTTACTGGCTAATTCATATCATAAAAATCATTGAAGCCATTGGATCAGCATGACAGCCAAACATTTCACATTTTCAGAAGTAGAGGTTAGAATTTGCAGCCCCCTTATTTCTTTCTGGCCAGGTCTTGCAGCTCTGTAACTGCTACAGCAGCACCGCGTGTCTCCATTCTAGGTACTTAAGTAAGAATAAAGTATATTTATTATATATATAAAGTATAATGTGGCTTTAATAAGTAGCTATTACATCATAAGTAGCACTTAGGTAAAAGTTAACATAGCGAGGCAGACAGCGCCCCCTACAGGCTGAGTGAAGGTAATGTAATGTGGAGACTGTTCAGCATAGCGTATCAGCACTGATATCTTTGGGGTCTATTTCTCAATGTTTTCACCTAAAATTGACACAACTGTCATGTAATATTCACACAATCCAAGTGCAAAATTTACTTTTATGAACTTTTTCCCCTAAAGATTTTTTTATTTTATTACTATGTATTGGCAGGTGGTTGAACCAAGTAAATAAGCAGACCTTTCGTTTTTAATGCAAGTTCCGCGTTGACAATGTTACCGTCATCCCAAAATGAATTGTCTTTTAAATGTTCAGCTTTCATTAAAAGTAAAACCCTGGTTATCCTGCTATGAAGGTCCTTGTTCAGGCAATTCCTGTTCTGGGGTGACAACTGTCTCCTAGTTGTGCTCCTGTGTTGTCACTAGGGATGCAGCGATACCGGTATTTCAGTATCGTGTAAGAGTACCGATATGTTTTTTTTGGTACTCCCCGATACCGAATACTGAAAGTCCCATTCAGGAAGCCATGCGGCGTGTAATGACTCGCCACCCGGGTTCCTGATTAGCAGGGAAGCCGTCCCCGTGCTTCTTGTCACTAGGTGACGAAAAAGCATGGAGCCGGCTTTCTGGCCAATCAGGAACTGCTACGTTTAATGATGCGGCGCCCGGCTTCCTGATTGACCGGGAAGCAGACTCCATGCTCCCTCGTCATGGGGGTGACGAGGGAGCATGAAGCTGGCTTCCTGAACCAATCAGAAAGCCGGGCGCTGCGTCATTAGACGGCACCTGGCTTCCTGATTGGCCAGCTTTCGACCAATCAGGAAGCTGGGCAGCGCGTCATGACACGCTGCCCAGCTTC